CATTACCCATTCAAGCCGTCTCCAACCATTATTAACTTTCCATGATCTTTCTACTACCCACTACTTTCCTCGTTATATTTATGTTATTCACAGCGTTTCGCATTTTATATTTTTATCTTAATATGTTTTTCTGTGAATGGTTCGGACTTTATTTTACAATTATTCAGATCGGGATCGAGTCAGCAAAAATATGTTTTTAATTAAAGTATCTGTAAAAATCGGTTAAAGAAATTCAAAGTATTTGCATTTGTTTTATATTCTCTATACTTTTAAGTTGTACTTTCTTACTTGTTAGTCTATTTGTACGTATAAAATCACCACCTTCATATTATTTGTTATTCACCACTTTCCACATGTTTATTCAAGAAACGTCTCATATTTTTCTTACATATCAAATTGCAGCCATATTTGAAGAGACCAATAAAGCTCAATTTTGTTTCTTTTCTGCTAATATAAAATAATAACAATAATGGTGCTGAGCAAATCGTAAATAATAGATTCAATGTTGCATAAACACTAAACATGCCTATCTGGTACGAATTAAAATAACATGGAATATTCAACGTTCTAGAAAAGATAGTTTTTAACAGTTGTGAGACAATGCTGAAAACATTGCTATTTTCTAACGAAAGCAAATGTACCTCAGAACTCGCATGCTGCTCATTTTTGGCCAGAAACGTTTCAAATCCAAATAATTCGGAATTTATGGATTTAAAATTACCACTCGTTGAAAGAACATAGCTGATTTTGTGTTAATTTGTTATAAATAACCTATTATTAAGTTGTAACACTATTGTTCTAGTTTGTGCATCTTCTATTTTCTCAATGAAAGAAGGTTAAGTGTAGATGCTAGTAGTTTGTGCTACTTGTTATATAAGATCAATTTCAGTTTAATTAATAGAACGCACATTTCTGCAACACATCTTGCTGCTATAGTACCAATGTCCTTGAAATTTTGGAACAAATTTCCAATCTACTAGACATATGAAGTTAATATAATCCTCTTTATAGTTTACGTTTCAAATCTTCCGAATTTTAGTTTATAATTATATAGTTTTTTTCATAATAGTAATCGGGGATATAAAATAGATATTCAGAAAAAAGAAAGAAAAAACCTGAACCGCGCTGACATTTTGAAATCTATTATGTTTTATTTGTTATCACACACACACACACATATATATAGGTTTACTGGAGGATGTTTACCATAATTGTAATAGCTTTTGTTTATACAGTTACCATAAGATTTAGCCACAAGAAACAGTTTTTCAAGTTACTGTTCATTAGGCCAATGTTGCTTATTCAATAAATTCGTGGCTTGTTTTAATTCAAAGTACAGTCTTCACAAAAAACATTGGAGTGTTAACGCCTTTTGCTGACTAAAAGTGTTTATAATCAACCATACTTGTCACAAGCCAATAGTTTTAGGGTTATTGTATTTTTTAAACACTACATTCTTTATTCGGTCCCTTAGTATTTTTCCAAGAACAAGAGTGTATAATAATATTTCAACCATACATGTTATGGTTGAAATATTACACGCTCTTTTCTTGCCTTCTGACAAATATGTTTGATTATAATCATATAAGAATTTTGTTTTATTCTTTAACTGTGTGTATCTTTCGGTTTTCGTATGTACGAACTTGTACTTGAATATCGTCAGTGGTTAAAATACCCTGTTTACTAAAAAAAAGGTAAATCCTTTTGACCACTTCTGGTTAACTTATAAAGTATGTAGGTGAATAAGTACCTCATGAAAAGTTTTTCTCAGGAATATACACGCTGTGGGTTACTGTTGAATGAGTATTGTATTTGTCTGTCATTATTCGCACAGGAAATACTTCGATTTTTGGCCTCTCTTATTATGATCTACCTTTTCATGTCTTTTTTATTTTTACTATTGCGAAACTTGTACTTAATTTTATTTCGTTGATTATCATTACAACTTTACAAGTCATAAAGGGAGAAAGAATGCAAGTAAAACGAACAGCATGTAGCTTGGAACTATAGAAATCAACCAGCATCCGTTCCTCTGTTTTATCTTTTTTTTTCGGGTTTTCTTAATTTTTAAGTCTTTATCGTAGTTTTGTGGTTGAGGAACTTCGGTACTCTTGTAATTTCGCATGTTGTTTAATACGTAACACGTGCGATTCACTGTCGTTTCTTGTGCTACGTTTGTATATGAAGTGAAATAAAGATGCGTTTTTTTAAGACACTGTCTTGGTGTAGTCATATAAACGCGAATCCTATGGTTTAAAAAACAATTAAGGATTTTATGGGATCAAAGATCAAACAACCCCAAAATGAACGTATTGGGCTCCTGTGCAGACATATTTACAACAATTAAAAAATTAAAAATATTTTTACGCATCAGAAAACTTTCAAATTTCACATGCGAAATATTTATAATGTCCAGATTGTCATCAAACATTTTCTAAGAAAACACTTTATATTTTATCTCTTATTTTCAGTAAGGAATATCTGTACGGGTTCGGTAGATTTGACCGATCTCGTAACCACTGTAAAAAGTTAGGAAATACATATAAATTATGCCTCTCTTATTCTAGAATTAACACAAATTATAACACGAAAACAAATGTTTAGACTAAATAGTCTTAAATCTCATAAAATTATATATTTATTATTTATATTATATTGACCTTTCAGCCGTGTCTGGCTAACAATACAGAAGTTACAATGACGCGGTACATATGCACTCATGTTACTGTATCCAATAACATAAAACTGACCTATGGTCTTTAGAAAGTAACCTGTCAGGGCCGTGTTTTAGTAGACTAGTACTTTGTAAAATACAGTCACATTTCAATTATTATATATATATGTATATAGATTATTGTTATTTAGAAATAAGTTCTTAAACTTATTGTCTTAAAACACAGAACACTAAATAAAGAATTAAAGCAAACAATTATCTCTTCTAGTTACGACCTTTGTACTCGGTTGCCGCTGTAGGTTGCTAAACCTTTTAAAATTTTCAACGTGGAAGATATGTAACAAAATAATTATTTTTAGTTATATACATTTGAATAATGAAAAAATTATTATATCGATACCATAAAACTCAATTATAATTTAGTAATTTTAGTAACAAAGCTGAATTTGGATCTAAAAAATATGAAATTTCGAGTAGAGTAAAGACTCGATTTACCTCTATGCCGTCTTGTATCAAAAGAAAGATATAACGACTTTATATTTGAAACTGGCTGGGAAAGCCACTAGGGGACATTTTGAGCTTTCGATTGGTTATTCATATCATACATAGAAGTAAGTGTATATAAGGGAGCGTTTCTTAAAATGGAAAGAGGTGGGCGGGGTGCCACTGTGTTTGATTTATTACGTGAGCAATATCTTAGCAAAGAGAAAAGATAAGACGTTCTTATTTTATATTTTAGCTTGTCAATATCGGTAATTTGAGGTTGTAGTTCGTAAGAAACTATAGACTTAGTATTTTGACTTCACATACATCTAATTCGAACCAGTGCTGCATTCAACATACCGTGTGACTCACAATAATTGAGGTTTATTAAATTAAGAAATGGAGTGATGAATAGTATTAAAATTTGAATTATAATCTACAGTTTGATACCAAACTTACTGACATAAATTTATGAAATAATAGTTCAATAAAATTTTGAATGCGAGTCAACAAACGAGATGACATAGCCTTTCACCCGCGACCCGTCTCGAAAGGGTTAATTAATTACTTGCCGCCATCAGGGGACACCAATAATAAAACCCAACCATGTGATCTAATGGATAGTTTACGCTTTGATTTTTTTGTTCAATCAAATTTAATTACATCAGAAGATGCCATCTCCAAATACTATTAATTGCACTAGATGTCATCAAAGGGCATAAAATTGGAAGACTTTATCATATTGATTTCTAAAATTATTCCAAAAATTGACACAAGTACATCTTATATTAACGACGGCATTTCATTATATAAAACGAGGCCAGCTCATTAAATATTTCCGAAGAGTTATATACATTTGATATTCCATCAGGCTGTGCAGGGGTGACAATGTTGATACATAAACTTCTCTACTATGTGATTATGATGCCAATAAAAGAATAACGAGTAGTCAATACTGTTCAGATATCTTTTAAGAGGAGATGGGGATGTAGAAACAGAACTATATAAAATAATATAATGTTTTTTCAATTATAGAATATCGAAAATGGCAAATATTTTAGCCTGTGAATTAAGAACAATATAATTATTTACGAGTTATAACTGCCTGGAGAATCGTGGCGTTACGATTATTTTAGACTTCATGTTTTGAATTTATTCTGGTCTTGCTGCAACTTCTAAAAGATCACAATATGAAGTCAGGAAAGAAATCAGTACCAAAATTCTGCAGCAGCTGCGGTCTTGATAATAAAGTGGGAAATCTTTGTCTCACCTAATATTATTTACACTATTCTTTGTTCACGTATTAATTCATATTTTTTGTGAATTATTGTATATATATATTAGCGAAAGGTTGATATATTCTACATAACTATGTCAGTGTGTGTGTGTATATTCTGAATCCATTTTAGCATAAAAATATAACCTATCTACTTTTGTTACTAAGCAGCATGACATAAATCCATTGTTAGAACGCACTGTTGTCAAATCGCACTGGCTTTTTTATATATTACAGGTTGTTATATAAAGATCCACTTCTTTTTTATGTGGTTTTTCGCTAGCTT